TAACATTTCAGAAGGAACATTTTCATTTTTTACTCCATTATTCTCAGCACTCAAGCTCTGTGCTTAACCATGTATTAACAATGCAAATTGCTTGCACCAGCCAATCATACATTCTTTGAAAAAAAAAAAAAAAAGCAAATCTGAACTTCTGAGTCCAATTCTAGGAAGAAAACAGTTTTTCTAGCTAAGGTTGAAAGGTGATTTTCTTCCACTTGACTTTTTGATGAAGAAGAGTCATTTTGAATTGCTGATAAGGTTGATTTTTGAACTAAGGACTTAGGTCAACAATGTTAAGAAAAGAATTTTTATTGTTTTGCCCCAATGGAAATCTTCAGTATCTCAGCATACATGCATTCCCTTTTTACTAAAATTTCATGACAGATAACTCCCCTTGCATTGAGTTAATACTAAAGACATGATCTGTATTAGACCACTATTTCCAGACTCAGGCCTATTTTAGAACAAAATCCCAAACACAAAGTATTTTTGAAAAATTCTTTATGAGAGCAATTGTAGTTTTTTTTTTTTTTTTTTTTTTTTTTTTTTTTTTTAGTGTGGGGGGAACGTTTAATTTGTAGGATGCATACTTGAAAATATTCTTGATGTAGTTATTGAAGATATCAGTATACAGATAGAAGATAGCTTATGGTGACTACTTATTGGGTTAAATCATGTTACAAAATTCAGATATTTTTTTTTCACCAATATCACCTTTCCCAAAAGGGCTTCCGAAAGTTATTGTTATCATTTTTTTAAGTGGGAAGGGGAAGAAATGGGATGAGAATTTTTACTCCACTTTGTAAAAACTACATTACTGCAAACCAAAGGTTTAAATTCTTCTAAAAAGGTAGACTTTTTTTTTTTTTTTTTACATACTACTCTCCTGATCAATATTTAACAAAATTGAGAGTGGAATTTTCTTTACTAGCTCTTTACTTCTATTCTGGGAAAGCTTTCATCATCAAGGCTTTCACATGGTTGCATGAAGAAAAAAATATTGCCTAGATGATGTGATGACAAAATAATGACAAGCATCTGAGAAAACGCAGATGTGGAAAATGACGTGTGCTTTTTTTCCTTAATCTATTACCATTTTGATCGAGTTGAACATAAGTTTATGATTATGATATGCTCTAATAATTATTGTATTCATCTGCTTTTTTATAGTTCTTTAAAAATATCTAGAAATGCATTTATTCATGAAACACTTATTTCTTGCCTCCTTTACGTGAAGACTACGTGAAATTCAGGAATCACATTTGTTTTTTCTTCCAATCAAACATTTAACAATTGAGATGACAGCCAAGAACTAAAAATAGCTATTCTCATTTCTCATTTTGGACCCATGCTTTTAAAATTCTCCAAACTAGTAGCTGATTTTTAAAAAATATTTATTTTTTAGTTGGACACAATATCTTTATTTTATTTATTTATTTTTATGTGATGCTGAGGGTAGAACCTCGGGCCTCACTCACATGTGCTAGGGGAGCACTCTACCACTGAGTCACAACCCCAACCCCAACTAGTAGCCATTTGAGTGGAAAAGTGCAAGATGGGTATTCATTTCCCTAGGGAGGCATGTGAAATTGACACCTACAACAAGCTACTATTGTTTTTGGCATCTAAGCAAGAACCCTCACAAAGTTCCTTGACAAATTTCCATGAAAAGCAAAGTTTACATTGAAATTGCTCTTACTTTCCTTTCTCTTATCCTCTTCTATATTTGATAGTCCCTCTTCTGCATTATTTATTGTCTTCATTTATTTATTCCATTCACTCACTCATCAGCCAGTTGCTTTTCAAACAAGAGTATGACAATTTACAATAGGGAAACAATATCTGAAAGATAGTGACCTTGTTTAAAGCAGGTGTCAGTTCTGCTATAAAGATAAGCCATGCCCAGACATAACCAACCAACATAGAAAGAAGAACTTGATCCATGCTATTTAGTGCACGGAGTTGAGAGTTCAGGGAATGTAAAACACCCAACTTCTATTGCAATTGAGACCTGACTGTCTTGAAGTAACCCTTCCTTTCAATTGGAGGTTTTCAACTTTGCAGAACCACTTGATGAGTTGTTTTTGTTTTTGTTTTTGTTTTCATCACCGGATATTGAATCCAGGGCACTATACCTCTGAGTTACATTCCTAGACCCCTTTTTTACTTTTTGTTTTGAGACAGGGTCTCACTAAGTTGCTCAGGCTGGTCTTGAACTTGTGATCCTTGTGCCTCAGCCTCCTGAGTATCTGAGATTAAAGGCACATGCCATTGCTCGTGGCTCATCTGCTGGGTTTTTAAATCAAATCAGATTTACTTAGATCAAATATCAGCCCTGTTTTAAAAAAAAATCTTTGGAGATAGGACCCAGATGTGTGAATTTTAAAAACTGGTTATTCCAATATTCAGTTCTGGTTGAGACCCCCTCTTTTAGCTAATTCAGAATATTAAGGGACATTAGAATGCTAAGGGATATTCCTTGATATTCTTTTAAATCTCATATTACCCAAATCTCAGTATCACTTTGCCACATTACTGTGAAGAGGACAAGAAAAAAGGGATGACTTTGGAGAAAATATTCACATACTTCATTCTCTTAACAACAGCAGCAAAAAAAAAAAAAAAAAGCAAACAAAACAACAGCAGTAACAACAAAACTCTTTCCAAGTTCTTGAGGTAGAGAATTAAAAATTGCAAAAGAGAAAAAGAGGAGAAAAGACATTTTGGTAATCCTTGGTGGAATTAGGGGTCATATGGCAAGAAAGGCATTTCTTTGCTTGTGTATTGTTTGAGAGATTCTGGGAAGAAATCTGATCATCTGTGGAAGGTGAGATGGGGCAGATCAACATTGTTGGTTAGATGGGAAAGCCCTGGGTATAGGGAATGGAATAATAGTAGGAGGTCTGATTTGTTTTGACAACAGACCTTTAGTATTTATTCCAATAAATTTCACAATATTAGATAGTGGCCAAGTTATTCAGTCCTTTTATAGGACCTGTAGAAACAAAACAAAACAAAAGACAAATCATAAATCAGGACTAAGATTCTGAGCTCTAGTGAGATGGGCGGATGGACGGGTGGAGTTAGGGAACTTCAGAAAAGAGCCCCTGAATTTGCTCATGGTTATGAAATTGTGCAATGTGTTGGAATATATCCAAAAGTGTAATTAGCAAATAAAAACTAAATGAAATAAATTTATTTTGAAGTGTTTTGTTTAATCATAGTGACCAAATACACCTTTCTCATGTACATTCTTTATATATTAACATTGGAAACATGAAGAGGAAAGCCCAAATTCACACTTCTTCATTCCTTTATTATTACTTGGGTTACAAATGAATTCTTTGGGTTCCAGATTCCTTATCAGTGAATTGGTGGGTAATATCTATTTCAGAGATCTTGTAAGAATTTGAGAAATAATACACTTGAAGTTCTTAATGATTTCAAGTATATTTCTCCTATTTCCTTTGTTGTTAGTGATATAATTTTTATGGCAGCCCAAATTCTTGCAGATGGAGGGGATGCAAAAAAATTTTATATGATGTAAATATACTAATGGCATAAACAAATTCTTAGGAAGGAGATGGAGACAAGGTTGTTCAAGTCTCAACATGGTAGATAGAGTGTTCTGCCTTTAATAAACTTGCATTATTTATTAAAGGAAGTTGACTAAATTTTTCTGATGCCTTTTTTTAATCTAAAATAATGTCTTACTCTAGGTGTGAGTAGCAAATTCAAATGCTAGCAAGGCTCTTAAGTCCTGGGATGGGGTGGTGTTTGGCAAACTCTTCCAGACACAGCCTCTACTTGTGTCTGGCAGACTGTATGCTGGCTGGTGGGCTCAGTTGTTGCTAGATTTGATTTTTCAAGAAAAAGGAAGATCCATATAAATTTAAAGACTTCCAGTTTTTAAGTGTTGACAACTAATTCCATTTTCTTTTAACATCATGTGTGCCAAACCAAATATATCTGAGTACAGCTTGTGTGCTACCAGTTTGCGACCTTTGGATTTTGAAGGTCTCTCCTACTTCCAATGCTCTGAGTCCAAAAACAATGGTATCCATCTTGCATGAGGTGCTCACCCTAACTATTAGAAATTCGGTTATACCCACTCCCCCACTTTTCAGATATGTCATAATTAATGTTACTTTGTAGGAAATTCTTATGAAAATAGCTTCCTATTCCAAGGTTAAAATTAATTATATTTCCTGTTATACTAAAGCACATAGGCTCAATTTTCTGGATGTTAATTTTATCTTTTTACAGCATCTGGTGGCTGGTTTCAATTCCCTAGGATCCAACGTTATTTTGTGCCAACTCTTGAGAGGTAGAACTTTAATCAACTTTAACATTTATGAAGTTGAGTGCTTTTTAAAAGTCTTAGAGAAACATAATCTTTCATCCTACCTGTTTTGAATTGAATTGTGTCCTCCAGATTCATCTGTGGAACCCAAACATCCAATGTATTTGGAGATAGGGCCTTGAACAAGGTAATTAAGGTTAAATTAAGATTTTATGGGTAGTATCTAATCCAATAAGACTTGTTGTCTACATAAGAAGAGGAAGGAACAGTAGGAGTGTGCTATGCACAGAGGAAAGACTGCATGGAGATAAACAAGAGAATCAGCTGAAAACCAGTAAAAGAAGCCCTACCATAAACTAAGCTAGTCAGTTACTACCTTGATCTTGGACTTCCAGTTGCTGTGAGAAAAATTAATTCCTGTTGTTTACATCACCCAGTCTGTGGTATTTTGTTACGGCAGCTTGAGTAATACACGACCTGTAACTAGCCTGATGTCTTTGTTACCTGAGGTCTTTGAGCTTTGGGGCTCTTTAAAAATTCTAGTCATTCTCAGAGAAATCCTTCTTTTAGACTCTTCTTTCCATGTGACTTCCTAAGACATCATGGACATTACTGTATTTTCAACCAAACGAGTACCCACTTTGGAAAATATATCAAACTGTCTTTGTGATGGCAGAATACAAAACATTTGGTAACTCACCCATAAAATGTGAGATAGAGGAAACCAATCCTTTTCCCAAGTTTTGTTACTTCTCCTCGCTTGTTAGATGCTCCGGTGAGTCGCACAATGCCTACTTTCTTGAGGCTGGAGAGCCACTTGTATGCATGTTCATCATTTTTTAAAACATCTTCAAAACTTAGAGTAGGTAGCTGGAGCTCTGAACCCCAGTATTGACGTTCTGTGAATTAAGAAAACAAAATCGTATGGGATTACATTGGTTTCGTATAAGACAGGAACCTTAGAGAAGGGACTAGGTCACTAGAGTTGATCTTCAATTGATCATGGAGATTACTAAATGCTAGTTATACCAGAAATGCCTGTCACCAGGCCTTGCTTCCTGGGAGCCATGCCATTCTATGATATGCCTCTTCTACAACTGTGTCTGGCACATAATCAGTATTCAGCATAATCCATTTATTAAGGGAATGTTGTTTAACTATGTTCTTAGAAATTCCCTTCCAGGATACTGCTTAGAAGTGACCCTGAGACACCGTGAGTGTTAACAGCTAAATTCTACTTCTTAACTCCAAATGGATGATAAAATCAGAATGGTGGACTAGAACAGCGTATGCTTATTCTGTTAGGAGGGTAGGTACAGTCCTTTCTTTCTCTTATTTCACCTGATTAAAAGCTATAAGACTGTCTCTGGGATCATGTTGTTCTTTGGAGTCAGTGAGAGTTGGTCATAGTGAAGGAAAGATGAAGGTATGTTCCTGGGAGGCATAGATGGCTTTGGAGGTGATATGCAGGATATAAAAGTCAAATGCCTTTCCTTAACCCTCTCCTTCCTGATGATTAAATACTTATCAAAATGTTGATCTGAGAAAACATAATGAAAAACAAATGTAAACAGTATTTGATTTGCAAACTAGGCTTTGCCAAAGGAAATGGAGCACTGAGGAAATATAATTTTTCCAAGGGAAACAACTCAGATACTAACAACTGATTCAGGAAGGACCAAATGCTAGTTAATCCATTTCATTTCTTCCTTTCTTGGGAAGGAAATTGCCTTAGAAAGGCAAACCTTCCTAACAAGTGATAGAATGAGAACATATGATATCAATATTATCCTGGGCAGCACTCCCTTTTCTAACTAAGGAATATACTACATTATGGAGACCAACCCTAGAGCCCTCGGTTTAAGAATGAAAAATGGGTCAGTGCCACTTGTGCTTGTGAATTATGAATCATTTTCTCTTTGGTGTCATCATGGCTGGCTCTTCAGAAGTAGGAGTTCTTTTAGAAATCAGTAGCTTCAGTAGTGCAAAGATATGAGCAGCTATTGAGCCACTTCTTCTTGTTCTTCTACCAGTTAGCTGCATGAGAACATTTGCAGGAATAAGTAGGTAAGTTTATTCAGGAAGTCCAAATTAAGTGATTAATGCATATATTGCCAATGTTTCTAGGTTGTTAATCATGAAAGCTTGCATAATGAACTAGAATTTTCAAGATCTAAATTCCAAACTAAGCTTACCTGGCAGATGCATTAATTCTCTTTAGTATTGAAGAGATTCTAAAGGCTCAAGTGACTTACTATATTACCTTAGCAAGTCAAAGAGATGTCTAGTTACTGTTTCCTAATTTTTCACTTTAACTCTTTACTCTCTGTGGGACTAACCAAAATAGTAACCAAGTCACCTTGGCAAAGGAAAGCATGGGGCATGATGCATTAGACCAGAGAAGGTTGGATGAGGCAATAGAAACCATGAGGTATGGAGGTTTCAGGATAATTATCTTAATTGTTTTTTTTTTTTGAGAGTAGGATGGCATTTCTTGAGCATATTAGCTACCCAATAATTATTTGTTCACTTATCTTTTCAATAAATCCAACATTTTACCATGTCACAATCAACTATGGATAGGCAGTAGGTTTTAAGGAGCTCACAGTCTATGGGAGAATCAGACATGAAAGCTAACAATTAAAACACAGTATGACCAGTAGAGGTAGAGGAAAGGAGTTCAGGGGAAAGGATGAGGAAAAGAAGAGAGCCACTGAGGATTTAAATTGACCAGATTATATTGTTATGCTGTGTGTATATATGAGAATGTAAGAACAGATACCACCATTATAATGTACCAAAAAAATATATATAAATAAAAAACACAATAGGATATATACCATAGTTGATGAAGGTTTAAGAGGTATCAGGTCTTCTGATCTTTATCTAAAACTCTCTCTATAATGCCATCTATTCTTTTACATGCATGACGTTACTCAGGTCTGTTCCTTCATGTCTCAAGTATTTCTTCTTCTAAAGTCAAACAGAGTTGGCTTTATATGAAAGAGACTCTGTTCAAAGGAGGAATCTACTTGGCTTTGTTTTTAATATTAAATTATGTGGCTGTTTGCTTTACCACTCCCATTTACTCATTGCATTTTAAGTCCTATATTGTAATACCTGATGTCAATCAAAAAGATCTGCAAAAAGAAGATGACAAATGTCATGTGTATTACATATTGACTGCCTGTCTAGGAAGGTCATTTGGTTTCCAGCTAGGAGAAAAATTTCCTGGGGAAAATATCAGTGTTATGGAAGTAGATAACCAGTCACCATCTTCCTTCTAAAGTTAATTTCTATACAGACTATATTCAGAAATGTAAAAGAAAATGTGAGAACATTTTTATCTTAGTGAATCTCAGAAGAAAATTAGGGATCCACATAGTACTAGAGCTGGATGAATGTTAGAGAATCATTTGGCATTTTCATACTGGCTTTAGATTTTCCATCACCATTAGTTTTTATCATTGGGTAAAAATTTGCCTAAACTACCACTGAGAATTTTTCTAAAGTATTCTGGCATGGTGCTAATCTGTGCAAATACATGTTTTCCATTCTTATGAAGCCTGTTGGATGTAATTAGCTACTGTCTGTATGTGTATCTATAACAAATGCATCTCTTTATCACCAAGGTTTTGTAACTTATTAACAAAAATTTACTATAATTTTTAGAAAACACATTTTTTTGCTATTGTAAGTCAGTCTAGACAGACTGGTATAGATTACAGTGATGTTCATTAGAACTTTCTGAATTCATGGAATTCTATTATCTGCACCATCCAGTGCCATAGCTATTAGCAAACAATGGCTGTTGGGATTTGATATCCAGCTAATGGAATTGAAAAACTAATTTTTTACCTTATTAAATTTTAATTAATTTAAATTTAAATTGACACATATGACTGGTGACATGGGCAGAACTTGGATGTCCTAATATGGGTTTTATTCATTGTTCTTCTTCTTACTAGCAAGTTTTTTGGGCTCTTCTCTGAGTTTCAGTTTTTTAATTTGTAAATCAGGGACAATTATATTTATCTTGTAGGTCTTTTGTGACGATGCAATGAGATTATGCAAGGTGTCTAACATAATGCCTGGCACAGAGTAGACCCATAATAACAATAAAAATATTAATATTTGCTGAATATTTTCTAAGAGCAATCCCACTGCTACAAGTTTTACAAACTTTGTTTTTAGCTCCACAACAAATACATGGGGTGGATGCTTTCAGAATTTCCATGCTATAACAAAGGAACTAGATGTCCAAGGCACATAGCTAATGATTTGCAGAGCTGGTCAAATCCAGGTGACAGGTCCCCAGGTCTGTAATTTCAAAAATTGTACATAAACACTTGATACATTGAAGTGCTGTCATCATAGGCATTTTTAAATCCTATGTCTAAATGTCCATAGCTTGTCCTACCTTTATAAAGGAAGTCTACTAGGTAATACAGAAAGTAGGGCAAGTTAAATGAGGAACACTTTGTCTGAACTTGTTTGAGCATGGGCATTTAACGATAAACCTTGGCTCCCTGTCAGAATTTTAAATGCAGAGAAAACATTAGGAATAGGGCTCATTGCATAACCCTGCAACAACATCACTATTTACTTTTTGTGAAATGAGCCAAAGCTCTGCACATTTAAAAATCAGCTAACTTTAGCTTCTTTAATTCATGCCAATGTATTTCACTGATCCATTCCTTTTTGGTTTTATTTAAGGCCAGTATCACCTTTCAGAGAGTTTCAGTGACTGTGTGATAGTAAGATATAATAAACAGAGATTTAAAAGTTTTTTCACAAGATCTAATTGTTTTTAAAACTTTTGGGTTTGTGTTATGACTTATTTGTATATTTTAGAAAGTTCTGTTTAAGGAACATACTATATATATTTATGGCATGTTTTTTTCTTTTCTTGAGAGTATACTTTTTATAACACCTTTGCAAGAATTTTTATTTATATATGAGTTATTTTTTTCCATTATAAAATAATGCATACACACAAAACTCCACTACTTTTAATTTTAGCAATATGGAAAGATTTAGATTCTTGTAATAAATGTTACTCTTTAGATATGTAAAATTAAGCATATTCACATATCAGAGAGTCTGGTAAAGAAACAAGCCTGTCAATAAAATATATAGCACAGTCCACATTATAAATAACCTACAGTTTTCAGAATGTTAATGTCAAGAATACAATTGCAATAGTTTTTAAGTTCTGTAGAACTTCTAATTTTTTTTTAACCATAGCTCTCATTTTGGAATCCCCTTGCAGGAGCTTGGCAGAAATCCAAAACCAAGGGACAAAGCTTATCACAGAATCTATTACTGAATATGAACCACTCAAACATTCAGAGATAGTCCTGTGACTAGCCAGTTTCCAAAATCATCATGCTCTCTTGAATATAAAACGCCAATTTTCAGAGAGAAGTAGTAGTACTCTATTTCATTAACTCTAGCGGGAAAATTATTCTGTGATATCTGCACACAATATTAAAACTTTAACCTTGAAAGAGTAATTTAAGAACATTTTCCTATTTCCTACCAACTGCAAAACCTAACTATCAGGGGAGCCAAAAGAAAATACATCTGACTAGAGTAAATCATTTGTCAAGAGAATACATTAAAAACAAATTTAAGTTTTACGCTTGGGTCTGAATACATGAACTGAATGGAAAATGACGGCATATTTAAGGTATGAACCACCCTTCCTAATTTAACTTATGGTCTTACTAATAAATACTTCCTTGAACATGTGCTTCACACATCATAAAATTTATGAACAGGCTACATACTGGCTTTCAAGGAACCATTTGTACAGGTTTCCTTGTGAGGGTTAAGCACCACATTCCAGGGGCCTGAGTTATGTTTCAAAAAGGAAAAGACACAAAGAAGTTATTTA